GGGGGGTTGTGATGCTACTGAGTAATACCAGCCTGTCTGCTAAACCCTCTGCTGTGGCCTTGGCTGCATCAGGGAGTATTTGGGGTAACCCCCTAGCTAGAGAGATGCACCCACTTAGACTGGCTCTGCCCTGGCTCTGGAGTTCAGTAACTAGCCCCATTGAGCGGCTTTTACCTCTCTCTCTCTCTCTCTCTCTCTCTATCTCCTCCTCTGTTGCTGGAATTTCCAAAGGCGTTCAGGGAGTCGTGCACCAAGTCGGCGGGAGCAGAGCCCACAGCTAACTCCTTGACCATCTTTTGTGTGACTCCTTTTGCTGGAGCACTTGTGCATAAGAACTTATTTAGCATTTCCCTCCCTCTGCAACTCTGAGATCTCCCTGCCACTTCCAAAAGGTGGGCATGCGTAGAGACTAGTTCCCCCTTTAGTAGGAGAAGGCACTGAGATGAGGAATCATGTTCTAAGTTCAATGGGAATATATTCTTCTCTTGTTTGCCTCTTGGTTTATTACAATGGTGAGCAATGCAGATATAATAGTCAAGTCTCAGAGGCTAGCCCTGTTAGTCTGTAACTTTAAAAACAAGTAGTCCTGTGGCACCCTTGGCTAACAAATATAAATCTAGTAACGTGAGCTTTCCTGGACAAAACCCACTTCTCAGATGAGCTTGAGTGAAGGAAAAAAGGGGTTGGTCAGAATATATAACTGAAAAAGGAAGGAGAGTGGAAAGAAGAAAAACCTGTCAGTTGTAGTGCAGGTGCTAGTGAGGCTAACTGAGTGGGCTGGAGGTGTCCCATACTTAGCTTTTGATGTCAGTGGGGTGCTGAATGTAAGGAAAGCTGGTTTATAATGGGCCGTAACTCAGACCTGCTAGAGAAGCTGCCTGAGCCCACCTCTCTAATGCCTTGCTGGCCAGAGTAGACAACTAATGAGAATCCCTTTCTGAGACGCCTGTAGCTCCAACTCGCTTGTGACAGATTGTAGTTTAGTTTCCAGCTATGGTGATTAGTGTAATTAGCAGCACAAATCTGCATAAAATGGGCTTTGTAATTAGCAATCAGTTGGATGTTTCTGTGTTGGGGCTAGTGAGAACTAGACCACTGTAGCATCTGGCCCTCCTCTGGAGAACAGCAAACCCCAAAGAGACTAAGGGAAGTTTATGGCTAGAAACAATCCAGGAAGGGTAGGTCACTGCGTTGCACTTAGAGAAATAGTACCAGCAGATTCTTGTTTGGGTGACACAACAGTGTTTATTGTGAATGCAGAACTCATTTTTTCAGTCCCTAGCTACAAAAACTATCCAGCACACATACGTGCTCTTCCACAGATGGGATATAGTTACAGCCTCAATTGCTCATGCTAGTTCTCTGGCCAGGCGTGCTGGGTTGTGTTGGTGCGCACCAATGCTCCGGAGGATGATCACAGAACCGAAAAGCCCAACTGTCTAGTTTTGCATCCATCTTTTTATGTTTCAGTCCCTAGATCCGATCCTGCCCCAGGGAACTGTATGACCATGAGTCACCAGTTAGCAGCAAATGCAACTTTGATCTTTTTCGCGGTGGGGCTTTTGTCTCTTTCTTGGATGGGCTCTTTTATTGTTGGCAGCTGGTCGCAGAGACCAGAAGAGTGGCTTCTGGCACTGATCCCATTACAGATACATGCTTTGAACAGAGTTGAGGCAGTACAAGACTTAAAATTGGGTTTGTGACATCGTGGAGTCAGTTGAGTTACAATAACAGATTTTCAAAGGCAATTCTTAACAGGTTACTGACGAATTAACCCGAAGGTGGTTAATACTGTTTCGTTTATAAAATCCTGTCCATAACAATTGGGCTGCAATTCATGAGGTTACGTAACGTCACATTAAAAAGGTGACTTAATTCTGCAGCTCTACAGCTGCTTTTCAGACTGTGGGCTCTCTGGGTGCAGCACTTTCCTTACGTAGAACCTGGGCCTCCCCTCTGCTGCCTGCCTTGTCTACTGCTCTGATCTTTCTGGATCACTCGGCTGCTTAGTTCTGTCTGCCTAGTTACTTCCTATCACTTTCACTGTGACACTCAGGCCAGAAGTGACTTGCGGGTGATGCCAGAGTGAATCAGAAACACGCCCCAGAAGTCATAATTTGCCTGCTCCTTGCTCTAACCACCAGACCCTGCTCCTCGGGGGCAGCTCTAGGTTTTTTGCCGCCCCAAGCAAAAAAACTTGTTGCCGCCCTGCCCCCCTCCTTGTTTTTTGTTGGCAGCAACCCGGAGCAAGGGTGGCTCCGGCCGCGGCTTGGGCCCCCTGGTGCGGAGGAAGGGGGCGTTCTGCTTGGCCTGGGGCACAGGATCTGGCCTGGCACAGCCCGGCACAGGGGGTAAGAGCTTGGCCTGAGACCAGGACTGGCCTCAAATGACCTAGAGCACCAGGCTGGAGCCTGGATTCTGTCTCCAGCCCTGCTTCAGTTTCCCCTTTGGGAGCTGAGGAGACACTGCTGCCCTGCGCGGCCAAGCGCAGTGACTGGGTGGGGAGGGGCTGGGGCTCCCCGGCCACCCCCTCCCGATGGATGTGTACCACGACCCCTGGCAGGGCCTTGTGCCCCTCCCCCTCCTATTCTCCCCCGCAGGGCCCTGCCGGGTCTGTGACGTGGCGCCGGCTGGCCAATCAGCACGTGCAGTGGGGCACACGCAGGTCCCAGCCCCGCAGGAAAGACTCAGGCAGTGCTGCCCGTGGAGGGGTGGAGCTATGGGGCACCTGCCTGGGTGCTGGGACCCCCCCATGTGGGGGGGCAGTGGGTGCTGCGACCCCCTGCATGGGGGGGCACATGGAAGGGGCTGCTGCTGGCAGGTGACTGCAGAACAGGGCGGCACAGTACACACAAGCATGGCCAGAATGCTGCCTCTGGAAATGTGCCACCCCAAGCACGTGCTTGCTTTGCTGGTGCCTAGAGCCGGCCCTGCTGCTCCCTCCCAAAACGCACTGCTTTTGGCTGCTGGGCCAACCTTACTTTTGCTGCACAGTGATGAGCCTGGTAAGTCCTGTGCAGTTGGCCCTGGTTGGGGTCATGCAACCTAAAAATACAACCAAATAAAATAGCCCCGCCAGGCGCCAGCCCCGCATCTGGGCATGAGAGGTGACTGCTCAGAGCAGCACAATGTTCAGGGGCTGGTTAGCAGTTGCAGGGCCGGAAGCAGCTGATGATGCGAGCTCTGATTCTTTGAGCTGCAAACCCTGTTCTGAATCCATCTCCTGAACAGGCTTAGAGGCCACGGAGAACAATTTTTCTCCCTTCTTCTTGTGACACTCTTTTAGATACTTGAAAAACACTATCATGTCCCCTCTCAGGCTATGTCTACATTTGCGCAATCTTGCGCCACAGCTATGCAAATGAGGCTAAGCGTGCAATATCGCTGAGCCTCATTTGCATACCTAATGAGCTGCCATTTTTGCAGAAGAGGCTCTTGCACAAGAAGGAGCGTCTACACTGCCCCTACTTGCGCAAGAAAAACCCTCTTGCGCAAGGCCGTGATTCCTGAAAATAATCAGCGTAGCGGCACTGAGCAAGAGGGTTTCTCTTGAGCAAGTAGGGGCAGTGTAGACGCTCCTTCTTGTGCAAGAGCCTCTTCTGCAAAAATGGCAGCTCATTAGGTATGCAAATGAGGCTCAGCGATATTCCACGCTTTGCCTCATTTGCATATTTCTGGCACAAGAACCCGCCAGTGTAGACGTAGCCGAATTGTTTTGGGTTAACATGTCCCATACATCGGCCCCTCCTGCTGGGCCTAGACTGGGCTGAAGTGACCCGGGAACAGAAGCAAATGAGAGTGTTAAGGACTCGCGGGCAGACTGCCTCACCAGTGGCAGCCCCCTTCCCCTTCAGGGCCCTTGGGCAGGTGGTGCCCAGCAGGGGCTGGGGGAGGTGGCTTTTGAGGGCCCTATTTTGGATGGGTGGGATCAGGTGTGGAGCTGCAGGCCCATTTGG